CTAGAATTATTTAAAAACATCTTTATTTAAGAACATCTTATTTAAAGAAATTTATTCTTAAGACATTTTATCAGAATTTATCTAAGAACTTATCTAAGAAATCTTATCTAAAGAACATTTACTTAAAGAAATCTTTTATCTTAAAGACATAATTTTTAAGAACATCTTATCCTAAAGAACGTTTATCTAAGAAAATCTTCTTAAAGACATTTATCTTAAAGGAACATCTTATCTTAACATCTTATTTAAGAACATTATCTTACTTATCTTAAGAACATCTTATCTTAAAGAACTTACTTACATCTATCTTAAAGAACATCTTACCTAAAAGAACATCTTACCTTAAAGAACATCTTATCTTAAAGAAACACTTATCCTTTAAAGAACATCTTACCTTAAAGAACATCTTACTTAAAGAACATCTTACTTAAAAACATTATTAAAGAACATTTTAAAGAACATTTATTAAAGAACATCTTACTTAAAGAAATCTTAAAGAAATTTATCTTAAAGAACATCTTCTTAAAGGAACATCTTATCTTAAAGAACATTTTACTTAAAGAACATTTATCTTAACATCTTACCTTAAGAACATCTAAGAACATCTTATTTAAAACATCTTACTTAAGAACATCTTATAAAGACATCTTAATAAAGAACATCTTATCTTAAAGAACTAAAGAAACTTATCTAAAGAACATCTTACCTTAAAGAACATCTTATCTTAAAGACTTAAAGCTTTAGAAATCTTATCTTAAAGAACATTTACCTTAAAGAAATCCTTAAAGAACATCTTATCTTAAGAACACTTAAGAACATCTTATCTTAAAGAACATCTAAAGAACATCTTAAAGACATCTTACCTTAAAGAACATCTTATCTTAAAGAACATCTTACCTTAAAGAACATTAAAGAACATCTTACCTTAAAGAACATCTTACCTTAAAAGAACATCTTACTTAAAGAACATCTTATCTTAAAGAAATTTACCTTAAAGACCTTAAAGAACATCTTATTTCAGACATCTTATTTAAAGAACATCTTAAGAACATCTTTGAAGAACATCTTATCTTAAAGAATCTTACCTTAAAAGAACACTTACTTAAGAACATTTATTTTAAGAACATCTTTATTAAAGAACATCTTATCTTAAAGACATCTACTTAAAGATATCTACATTAAAGAACATTTATTTAAAGAATATTTATTTAAAAAAACTTAGAAGACATCTTACTTAAGAAATCTACCTAAAGAAATTTACTTTAAAGAACATTTATTAAAGAAAATTTACTTCTTAAGAACATCTTATAAAGAACTTAAAGAACATCTTAAAGAACATTTATCTTATCTAAAGACATAAGAACATCTTATTTTAATTACCTTAAAAGAATAATTATCTTAAAGAACATCTTACTTAAAGAACATTTATCTTAAGAACATTATCTTAAAGACATCTTATTAATGAACATCTTATCTTAAAGAAATCTTACTTAAAACATCTTATCTTAAAGAACATTAAAGAATTATCTTAAAAGAACATCTTCTACTTAAAGAACTTACCTTAAAGAACATCTTATTTAAAGAACATCTTACTTACATCTTAAAGAACATCTTAAAGAACTTTCTAAAAAACATCTACCTTAAAGAACATCTTATCTTAAAGAACATCTTACTTGAAGAACATCTTTCTTAAAGAACATCTACCTAAAAGAACATCTTATCTTAAGAACATCTTATTTATAGAGCATTTTTATTGGGAACTTATTTACAGAAATTTGTCTAATAGAGCATTTTATCTTGCAGAACATTTCATCTTGCAGGACATCTTATCTTTCAGAACATATCTTGCAGAACATATCATTTAAGAACATCTTATAGAACCTCTCATCTCGTACGATCAGGAGTCAGCCGCATCAGCGAGGGTAACTACTTGTTATTTAGAGATGATAACACGAATAAAAATAATTGTGCAACATTTCTATCTGCAACTGACGCCAAGAAATGCACGCCAAGAGAGAGAAAAAAAAATAGTGGTGATAAACGAAGGAGCAAGAGTTGTTGCAATCACGGTTCTTGAAGAGAAAAGGGGAATAGGAAGGGAGAGAAGAACGTGACTTTGATGATGCTTGAGGTGGATGTCTAGTCACATGCGGGACTAATGCAAGAGTCAAAGTCAAAAGAAATATATGGGAGTAAAAAAAGAAATTAGAGAAGCTGACAAGGAAGTAAGAAAGATTGCGATATTTTCATATATACATATATATGTGTGTGTGTGTGTGTCTGTGTCTGTGTGTGTGTGTGTGTGTGTGTATGTATGTTTGTATACATAGAAAGAAGCAATGCCATGTCCGGTTTGGTTTTACATAGAAAAAAAACGATTTTTTTTTTATCACCTTGCTTTTATTTACAATTGTAAAATACAGCGAAAAGAAGATCCATAGACGCTACCTCACCTGCGAAAACAAAGGCAGGACGTATATTGATGTTGCACATGTCATGGATTTACACGTGGAGGTAATGAGGCGCTCTCGGTCGCAGCACAGGACTTTTGTGTGAGCTTTGACGGCGTGGTCTGAGCTTGAGCTTGGACGCTCATTAAGGTGTTGCATATTACGTGAGCAAAGCCTCTTGGCAGAACCGTGTGTGCGTTGAGGATGGATGGGTTTTATGTGTGTGGGTGGGGTGGGGGAGGAGGGTAGGAGGGGGCAGGGTGGTAGGAGGGGGCGGGGGCGTGGTAAGAGGGTGGGGGTTGATAGGAGGGGGCGTGGGCGGGGTACGAGGCCTCTCCCTCGTAGGCAACGTTGGCGACGTAACCGTTGTCGTGATCGGCGGTGAATTCGACGATCTCGGTTCGGCCGTCGGGAAGAGCCACGCTGTAGGATCCGGAGGTGACGTGACCGTCGCTGGTCTGGGCGTGGGCGTAGTCGTTGCCCGAGTAGGGGTCTCTGACGGCGTAGCTGAAGTCGAAGGGCATTCCTGGCTGCTTGTAGGTCGGGTGAGGAGCGTGGTAGACGGGAGGAGAGTCGGGACGGGGGACGGCGGAGGCCAGAGCCGCGAGGGCGCCCACCAGGAGGATCAGCTGCAGGAGATAAGGCTAATGAATTCACAAATCTCATTGTAAACTTGCTAGAAACGCAAAACATAAAAATAAATGAAATAAACATCTGAAAACCATAATTTTAGAAGTAGATGGATAGCCTGATGGAAAACTACGAACTCTCATGTTGATCTTGGTCGCGGAGAAGCTCAGTGAATTGTGATACACATTAAGGGGAAGGAGCTCTTTATATACGTGCAGAAAAGATGGAAATTGTGGCGTTATTATTATGTTTAGGGCTTTTAGCGACAGCGGGTGAGATTCTAATGATGCTAATAAAATAACTCTGACGAACAGGAATTTTAAAAGCTTTTTTATAAATAACGTTAACAATACTGACGTTTGATATAATTTAAATGACACGTGTTGTGCAAATTGCCATGTTTACTTAAAATCATTGTCATTATCTAATTTTTGACTTCACTATTCTTGGAAAAGACTATGTTGCTCTTGTAAAGTTACTTTCACATTACCGCTATTAAAGTTATATGCCTTTGCAGTATCCACTGTTCGTAATATTGACGTCACAACTTCCTTTCTAGTGATGCGCATAAAAGGGACATCTTCCTTCAACTGAGCATCACAATTGACTCAGCTCCTCTGCGACCAACATGTCTGCGAAAGTGAGTAACTTCAGGGAAAAACTTTCAGGCTATTAAATATCTCTCACTCTCTCTCTCTCTGCCTGTCTATCTGTTTGCCTATCCTTTCATCTCTCTCGCACTCTCTCTGTCTATCTGTCTGCCTGCCTATCCTTTCATCTCTCTCTCTCACTCTCTTTCTCTATCTATCTACCTATCTGCCTGCCAATCCTTTCATCTCTCTTTCTCACTCTCTCTAACTATCTGTCTGCATTTATCTCTCTATATATTATCTACCTGCCTATTCATTTATCTCTATCTCTATCTACCTATCTGCCTGCCTATCCTTTTACCTCTCTCTCTACCTATCTGCCTGCCTATCCATTTATCTCTCTCTATCTATCTACCTATCTGCCTGCCTATCCATTTATCTCTCTCTATCTATCTATCTACCTATCTGCCTGCCTATCCATTTATCTCTCTCTATCTACCTATCGGCCTGCCTATCCTTTATCTCTTTATATATATATCCTATGCCTGCCTATCTTTATCTCTCTACTATCTGCCTGCCTATCACTTATCTCTCTATATATCTACCTATCCATTTATCTACCTACTATCCATTTATCTCTCTATATATATTTACCTATCTGCCTGCCTATCTATTTATCTCTATCTACATATTTGCCTGCCTATCCATTTATCTCTCTGCCTATCTGCCCGCCTATCCATTTATCTCTCAATCTATCTACCTGCCTATCCATTTATTTCTTAATCTATCTGCCTGCCTATCCATTTATCTCTCTATATATACCTATCTACCTGCCTACCCATTTATCTCTCTCGCTCTCTCTATCTACCTACCTGCTTGCCTATCCATTAATCTCTCTTTCCTTCAGTTCCGTCACCTCTAATCTCTGTCCACCTTTCCTTCGTCTGCCCTTCTCTCCACGCAACATTTTCTTATTATCGCATCGTTCATTAATCTGAGACAGTCGGTGGTGTAGCAACAGGACAGACTCAGAAGCACGAGGTATTCCGCCACTGCATTTGGTCCTTAGAATTAAACCTTTTGTTATTCCCCCTTTAAAAAAATCTCCATAATATGAAAGAAGGGTTTTCTGCAGTTAAAATCGGCAGCGCTCGTGATATCCCTAGATTCCTGCAAAGTACCTTTCGTCGTTATTCAATATTGTGCTATTCTTCAAGAATGAATTTTATCTTGGGATTCCCTTTTCCCTCCTGCAGCTGATCCTCCTGGTGGGCGCCCTCGCGGCTCTGGCCTCCGCCGTCCCCCGTCCCGACCATCCTCCCGTCTACCACGCTCCTCACCCGACCTACAAGCAGCCAGGAATGCCCTTCGACTTCAGCTACGCCGTCAGGGACCCCTACTCGGGCAACGACTACGCCCACGCCCAGACCAGCGACGGTCACGTCACCTCCGGATCCTACAGCGTGGCTCTTCCCGACGGCCGAACCGAGATCGTCGAATTCACCGCCGATCACGACAACGGCTACGTCGCCAACGTCGCCTACGAGGGAGAGGCCTCGCACCCCGCCCCCGCCCTACCACCCTACCACCCCCGCTCCCTCCTACCACGCCCCCGCCCCCTCCTACCCTCCTCCCCCACCCACCCGCACGTATAAGACCTGTCCATCCTCAACGCACAGGCGACTCTGCCAAAAGCTTCTTGCTCAACAAATATCCAACGCCAAAGGAAGGAGTTTCCAAGCTCAAGCCTCACCATCAAACTTCACACAAAAGTCAGTGCAAGCTCCCTGCGCTTCGACAGTACGCGCCTCACTACCCTCACCTGAAAATCCATTGCAATGTTTGTTGCTTCCATTGCCCACACGCCCTGTCCATATTTTCACAAATGAGCCAGCGTCAGTGAGCTCTTTAGCCATTGCATCTTACAGATATGAATAAAAGCAGATCAATGAGACAGTTTCCTTTTCATTAGAAAGCCTAACCTATTGCCTTTGTATTTCTTTCTCTCCTATCTGAGTTTCTTTGTTGTTTCCGTTTGTTTCTGTTGATTCTCCCACTGATCTTGTGTGCGGTTGGACGTCCGTTCAAGCATCAACAAAGACAGGTTCTTCCTTTCTTTACTATCATATTTTTATCTTTGTTCGACGCCTCACCGGTACCATGTGCTTAATTCTGAAAATGATCGTGCGAGAGTCCAGCTGTCAGATAAGATGTTCCTCCCCGCCTCGCTTAAGATGTGTGTTAGCGATGTTTATTTCTTTCATTCTTTTTTTCTTTCTCTCTTGACAGGGGTGTAGCTGAGGAAGGGAGGATGGGGACTTCAAGAGACACCCCATCGATGTATGTAAATCATTTTAATTTGGGAAGGAATAGCCGTTTTGAAAATTTGTTGAAGTGTAATTATTTCTTTGAATAACCGTCTGAGGTTCCTAGACGGTCATTGTCTTAAAGGACTTTTGGTTGTGCCTATAGGACGTAGTGTGAATGAGTGTGTAAGCTCTCACTGCTGATCTTTGAATCTGTATAAATATGAATTTCTAACGTGTGCTGTATTTTGTTGTCTAATTCTAAAAAGATAACATAGCGTTTTGGACTGAGCAATAACCTGGTGATTAGAGCTTATGTTCATTAGCGAAGGTCAGTAATTTTCAACTAAAGGTCTGCAGAGTGACCAGTATGGAGAAGTGTAGGATTAGTGCCAGTCGTAGGATGGCTCGAAAGGCTATTTCGGCTTATATTCATTGGGTTCAATGGATGTTTCTTGCTAAAGGAACAACCCTTTTGAATAGCAAGTGCGTGGGCGTTAACACCAAGAATAAATAGTAAATCAATTAAAGCGAAAAGCACTTAGAGAGCGCATACTCCGCCAAGGCAATAGGGTCACTGATGCAATAAAAATATTCTTTAAGAACTACAAAATTACTTCTTTCTCAAGTACGCTGGATACGTCCGTGTTTCCCTATCCCGCAATGCTAATGAATCATTGAAAGAAAATCCTGGATCCGGATCGCTCCCAAAATCAATGGCCTAAGATACCTCTGGTAAAAAAAAAAAAAAAAAAAAAAAAAAAAAATCTGCTCATAACTTTTTGAGATGGAGGATACTTCGGAGGTGCGGATCCTCGAGTATCTCTTGGAAGGCGAACTCTTACATCAAAGTCGGAGGCAGAGAAAGAGGTACAGATCCCGACGGAGTAATAAAGGTCCTTTTCCCGCGACCGACGGACCGCACAGAGTAGTTTTCGAGGCTCTGGCGGCGCGAGCGGACACGCACCGGCGCACAAGCGGAAAATAAATCTTTTTTTGGACGGGGGTGACGGCGCCGCACGCAACCGAGACTACAATTTATCTATTTCCTGATTAGAGGAATTTTCTTTAATTAGCCGGGTGGCTTTCGGGCGATAAAACACGAATATTGAAAAGAAAAAAAAAAAAAAAAACGAGCATGTAAGATGTACATAAATGAACACTCGAATTGGAGCAAAGAAAACGTAAACACTACACAGCGGAGACCAAAAAGGCACTCAACTCGCCCTAATGATACCTGTCGGGAACAGCGAAACGAGGTCGTTCACGCCGACAAAATCCGCAAATAGGTCTGGTTACTTTTAAGAGCCGTGGAAATGAATATCTTATTTGTATATTGATTTACAGTCAAAAATGGTTCGCGACGATGTGGCTTCTCACAGCTGCTTGCCACAAACGCTCCTCGTTCAGCAGCTGTTCTCAGACGACAGAATTACCACAAGGATCAAACATTCTTGAAAGTGCTAGAGAGCATTCTTCCTCTCCTCTCCTCTTTCTCCTTCTTCTCCTCTCTCTCCTCCTTCTCTCTCCTCCTCCTCTTCCCTCTCCTCTTTCTCCTCCTCCTCCTCTTCCCCCTCCTCCTTCTCTTCCCTCCCTCTTTCTCCTTCTCCTCCTCTTCCCCCTCCTCTTTCTCCTCCACTTCCTCCTCTTCCCCCTCCTCCTTCTCCCCCTCCTCCCCTTCCCCCTCCTCCTTCTCCTCTCCTCTTCCCCTCCTCTTTCTCTCTCCCCCTCCTCCTTCTCCTCCTCGTCCTTCTCCTCTCCTCCTCTCTCCTCTCTCTCTCTCCTTCTCCTCGTCCCCCTCCTTCTCCTCCTCCTCTCTCTCCTCCTCCTCCTTCATCGTCCATTTTTTAGTTTTCTTCGTCTGACCTTATAAATATGAGGTTCTTCAAATGAATCTCAGGCTCAGTTGTGACCATTAGGAAGATAATGATGGTGATGACTGTAACAGCAACAGTAATGATGATATAATAATAATGATTACTATGATAACGATGGTAATGATAATGGTAATAATGATGAGGATGAAAGCAACAATAGTAGTGATAATGATAATGCTAATAATAGTAATAGTAATAATATGAATAACAATGATAATGAAAGTAATAATAATGATAATGATAACATTAACAGTGATTATAAAGCTAATGATAATAGCAATAATGGCAATGGTAATGATACTAATAATGAAAATGATGATATAGATTAGTTTTATCATATCTATTACAATTATCACCAGATGTATAGAGACATCTTTTTATCCTTTTATAACCGTCTGTT